TTAATATTTATTATTAATTTTTATATTATATATAATATTAATCAATATTATATTATTAATTTCAATGAATAATATAATTAAAATCAATTTTAATTTAACTTACAAGGAGACCTTATGGTTGTGCCCTCACTGATTTTAACGAGCTTTGGTATATTAGTAGTATACCTTTAGGGTGTTAACGTGGTAAAGTATTTTATCAAAATGTGAAACCAATTTTGAGAAAAATGCTTTTAAAGTTTTTAATTTTTTGTATGCATGTTTATATTATCTTAAATGCGACTGTTTATCAAGTAACGTGCTAGCGTAAGTAGTAGCGTGCTCGCTTCACATGTTCCCAGTTAGTGGTTCGATCCTTCTTTGGGGTGGTGGTTTTGTTAAATAATTTTTTTCTATTTGTTTTTTCATAGTTCTTAATTTTTAAGTATATACAGGAAAGAGAAAATTATTTATATTACAAAAAAATTAGAATTAATATATTTTTTAATATCTTGCGCAAATAATAAAGGAAAATCAATTACTTGAATTACAGTTAACATTTCATTTTTTAACAGGTATATAAAAATAGATAAATCTTCAATATACTAACAAATAACAATCGTATATATTCTAATCATTACCTATTTCATGTATAATATAAACTTAATATAATATAAAACTTTGTTGAGTGTTTTAAATTATAACGAGCTAATACTTAACGAAGTTTAGATGTTTCGTGTTTTGAATATTAAAAATAAAAATAAAAATGTATGTCTACTCAATGAAAAAAAAGACGCTGAATTATAAAGATTAAGTTGCTGAAGAAGTCCCAATAAAGGGACGAAACGTCCAACTTAGTTAAATTAAATTCTACTTCTTTTTTATGTCCAAGTTCCCTGTGATACTTTCTCATTGAAAAGCATTTTTCTCAAAATTGGTTTCGCATTTTGATAAAATACTTTACCACGTTAACACCCTAAAGGTATACTACTAATATACCAAAGCTCGTTAAAATCAGTGAAGGCACAACCGTATAAGGTCTCCTTGTTAATAAATATATATATATGTCTAATATTAAATATTATTGATGATAAAGGTTCATAGGGAACTTGGACATGAAAAGTAGAAGTAATTAAATTAAGTTCTACTTCTTTTCATGTCCAAGTTTCCTATGAACCTTTATCATCAAAAATTATAATTTTGGACGAGAGAAAATACTGAATAAATTAAATATTATGTTATATCACAAACAGCGAGCATGAATATGAACCAATCGCAGTACCATTAGGACATCATCCATTAACGACGGCACCAGTCGTACAGATCATCGACACGGACGTGGTGCCCGTCGCGGACAGCGACGACAGCATCGACGAAAGAGGCCTGTTGCCATCTAGATTAATCCTAGGCGGAGATGTCATTCTACCCTTGGACGGTAGAATCGAAGATGTCGCCATGGAAGGACAGGAACTTGGTGAAACTGTCGGTGATACGTCCGAGGAACAAGACAGTCCGCAACAAATTCAGGAACGATTGGATGAAAGATATTTGAGCAGCCTTAGCAGTCCTGCTGCTGTTGCAATTTCTGCTGTTTCTGTTGCCCCGAGTCCCCCAACCCCGACCACTGCCACCACAACTCCTGGCGCCGAGTCTAGGACTGATGGCGAAGTCAACACCAGTCAGGTGGTCATCTTTATATTTTATTTCATTTGATTTTACTCTCTCTGGTGGATGTCTTCTCTTTCCACATCGCGTTCCACCATCTTGTTAAAAGATTATATTTAGACGAACAATAGAGTATCATAGGTCGATATATTATGCAATATAGTTTCAAACAGATTCCCCTGTTCTATTAAATGAATATTTTGGCTTTTATCTATAGTTTAAATAAATCTTTTGAAAATATATCGATGATATTATCAGACAAATATCAAAGTAATATGCCAAATCAATTCATTTATCTCACATGTGGTATCGTTTATTTGATCATATATTTATATATTTAGATGACGAGAGAGATTATATTAAGATATTTTCGAAAAAGGTTGATTTCATACAAATATAAGACAGAATGAAAGATGATTTATTTCGTAACTGTTCCAAATGTCAAACCCACGACTACTTGACGTACACGTAGGATCTAACAAGTTAGCCAACCATATGTTAAACGATATCAAATAACACGTTCGATATATTTTCGAAGATTTGGCAGGTCCCTCTTGTTAAAATTCAATCTACGTGTGCGTGTCGACGTTTAAAGAAACCTTTTAACTTTTTTTTTTCAGATGGACTCATCGGCGTTGGATGAGTTACCCCTACGCCGTGATTCACAAACTATACCTCAACGTTTGAAGAGTCAGGCGGGTAAATTGAGCTCACGGTTGCGTGGTATACAACGACCAAAATTTTCTTTTACAAAACGACCAAAATCTGAAAAAACGAGATCGATGACTATGACGACAACGACGAGTAGCGGGAAGTCTGACAAATCTAGAACGGATAAAAAAGTCCCTAGCAGGATGGACAGGATAAGATCATCGTTCTCGGAACGGCCACGTTTCAGTTTACCGGATCGACCGAAATTTCATTTTCCCGATAGTTCGAAATTTCGTTTACCTGAGAAAGCTAAATTCAGTATGAAACGTCCAAACATAAGTTTGCCTAAAGCGTTGAAACGTAAAACGAGAAAATCATCGTTAAAGGAACAACAACAGCAACAACAACAACGTTCGACGGATTCAACGATCGGTGGCTCGCGTCGAAATATTTTCGATTTTTCGACGTATCCGCGTATATTCGAGAAAAAATCTAAAACACGCAGGGACGGTGACGTGGAAGGGGAAGGGGACGAGGACGATTACGCGGCAACGTCCTCGCCAAAAAATTCTCGTGGACAATCGCAGGAGAGTGCAACGTTTCCAAGAGTTAGAAAATCTTATCCATCGACTACGGCAAGTTGGGCGCTCAGATTCGGTGAGCCAACTTTTGACGAATTGGATCAAAACGAAAATGTCAGTGCCATCGAAAGGATGCGTCCGTGGCGTCATCCTTCGTTGGAAGAACCCAGAAGATCCCTGATGTTGGAAGAGAAAGACACATTGGCAGCTCGTATCTCATGGGAAAAATCACAGAAAAAAGATAAACCTCGAAAGTCTGGTAGAAGTATGGAGGAGGAGGTTGAGGAAGAACAAGAAGAAGAATTAGAGGAAGAAGAAGAAGAGATACAGTATATGGATTACGATCCTGATTCGGTTGAGATCTCGGAAGGTAGAGGAGAGATCAATGGGAAAGAAAAAAGGAGAAAAGATGATGAACAACAACCCAGGGTGTCTGATTGGAGACAATCCGATGAAGAGGTAGCAGCAGTAATCGGGGATGAGATGTTTAAGCCGGTACGACGTACGAGATCGTTGGCTGATCCGACAGTACCATTTGATGTTGGTACCTCATTCGCTGCCGTGGATCCAAGACAGTTTGAACAAATTCAACTACCCACGAAAAAAGAAGTAAAACAGAAAGAAGAAGAAGAAGAAGAAGTTGAAGTTGAAGAAGAACTAGAAATAGAGGAAGAGGGTTACGAGGAGGAAGAATTGGAAGAAGAATTAGAGGAATTAGAAGATCGAGATCTTTCCTCGGCTCATTCGGATAGGGAACAACAACAATCCAGTGGTAGCTCGTGTGATCGTCGTCGACGTGGCATAGTCGAGGACACCGGTTCCGAGGAATATTATCCGCGGGACACGGTCCCCGAATTTAACAAATATTTTCAACCTGTGAACGCGTTGGCCGATGACATAATAATGCCAAGTATTCCACCAAAAAGACCAGCTAGGAGATCGTTACGCAAAAGAAAAGAAGACTTGGTCGAGGAGTCTTACGATGTTGTTGTACCACCAGCTAGAACAAAAAGGGAACGCATGGTTCAACGAACTAGCGAGGATATTTCGGACGATTTATATTACGAGGAACGTTCCGATAGTAGCTCAAGACATCGTGTCGTTTATCAAACCGAATTTGATCCTAACGAATTGACCAAACCAATTAACGAACCATTGGACGATATAGTTGTAGTTAAACCGGCAAGAAGGAAATCTAGATCGTCGATTCGCAGTCAATCACAAATACCGATCGAGTCAGACATCGTGTCGCGAAATATCGTGCAAAACGGTGACGTGCCCCGTCAACAACCTCCTATCGTACCTACCAGACGAAAACGAGCTCGCGGATTGAAGATTCCAAATGGTAGGAACGAACAATTGTTTCCTGCGACTATGTGCAATGGTCGTAACGACAAATGGGAGGAAAGTTTATTATCATCGTCTAGAATCGGAATCGAACAACCAATACGATCTCAAGAGATTCATGATATAATATTTAACGCGCAAGAGGATAAAGTATTAATAAAAAATCATCAACACGCCGACACACCAATTCCCGTTCCACCAAAGAGACGTTCCAGATCGAGAACTATCTCATTGGCTCAGGACGACGATCGTACGTCTCACGGGGCCGAATCTTTGCCAGAAGTTGATTACGTTCAAGAAGATATACCGCCAGACGAGACTACTCAAGATTCCATGAGAGATTTGTCGGGATACGCTTTAGTCGACAAACGGGAAAAACCACCTAGACCTCCGCCACCTCGTAGACGAAAGATTCGTGAAAAATTTGCCACTACGCCAAGACCTAATCCTCCTAAAAGACCACAGCGTACTTACAGTACGCTTACTTCGTCGACCAAATTAAAAGACGATTTATCAATCGAGGAAAGAATCCTCGAACAACAACAACAACAATCAGAATCTATGCCGTACATCGAAATAGATTTGGAGGATCGCAAAGAATTACGCGACGATCGAGTTTTAAGTAAAATCCAAGGAAGACCATTACCGGCACCCCCGAGACCACCCAGAGCACGAAAGGAACACAGTCAAGATCATTACGACGAATCTTTATCGGAAATTATAAACGAAGCAACGACTGCTACTCAAACCGATCCCCTTCCCGATGACATGATCATAGAAGAAGAAATAACTCAAGCTAAATTGATAGTAACTCCATCGTTATCGGGTTCACAAGTAATGGTATCTACCGAACGAATACCTAGTCCTAGTCAGTTTCCAATTTTACCCGGTTCCGAATTTTCTCCTAACGATGACGATAAATATCGGCACGTTGATACGCCGAGATCATCGAGAGAACCTTCGTCATTTGTTGATTATCAAGAAAGATTTCAGGAAAGGCGTTCGCCATTTTCTGGGGAACCACCACCGCCACCACCACCGCCACCTACAATTCCCGACACAATTGCAATTGATCAATCTCATTTGCAATCACATTTACAATCTATTATACGATCCGCCTTAATGACGGATGAAACTCTCAGAATAGGCAGTTTGGAAGTCGGTGATCTCAAAGTTGATCGACTTAGCGTGTCCCAGTTAGAAACAAGTAAGTTACTCGCTTCCGAAATTGACGCAATAGTGATATCAGCAAGCGAGTTGAAAAATTTACAAGAACCCAAAGAGGACTCATTTTCTCCGGCGATTATCAAAGAATTGATAGCTATCAGAAGTCACTTGGAAAGTGTGGCTAGCTCGCAAGCAAGGGAAGAAAGACGTTTGCATGATAGAGAAAGTGACACGGAGTCGATATTGAAGGACAGTAATAAAAAAGATCTGATTCAGGATCAACAAGAAATCAAAAGGTACGACGGTAAGGTTTCAATTACTGATCGATCAATTAAATCTAGTTTGGATGATGAGAAAAGTATTAAAGATGCTAAAAAGAAAATCAAAATCGAAAGTACGGAGACGGAATCCGCGTTATCATTCGTCGAAAGTATGTCAGATAACGAAACTGTTGACCCGATGTCGATGAAACGTTTAGAAATGTTCGAAGGTAAACAACTATCGACGCAGATTCGTCATTCCGATTCAAAGTCGAGTTTAACGGCTGAATTTGATTTAATGTCAGAACGTAGGCCGGAAATAGACGTGGTTGATATCCAAGATAAACAAGTTCAAAGTAAAGAAGAAGATATAAGCGGGATTAGTCGAAAATCTAGATCACGTTCGTCCTCGCCAACAACTACGGAACGAACTCGGCCAGTACGTCAAACGGCTTCGCCAATTCGATCATTGCCACCTGTTATTTCAGTAACTCCAGATACACCTGACACCACCAGTACACCTTATAACGTTTCTAATGTAACTCAAGCACAACATGCCGTTATTTCTTATTCCGAGGATCCAGAAATATCTTCTGATAATCAGGAAGCCCCGCGAGAAAGTTTGCAATCACCGACCACGTCCAATTTATCATCGAGCGGTGTTACGCACTTCATCGCTTTTCCAACTTCACAAATTCCAGAAGAATTTTTATCCTTAGTCAGATCCCCGTCCACTAGGGTGGTTGAACCCGAATTAACCATTCGCGAATCCTCCCGACAACTTCTTAGAGCTATACGCATTGTTGGAGCCAAACTTATTCGAGATTTCGCGTCACATTTGGTCTCCAGAGTTGGTGCCGAAGATGCGGCAGGAAAAATTCGAGAACTTGAATTGGCATTGTGTGCCTTATTACTTGTGATCGCGATCTTATTGATAGTATATTTCAGTAATTCTCGAACAATAATGCATTACCATCATTGGGATTATTTCAATCCTCCGCAATAATGTGAATATGACTTTATAATAACTATCATGATGGTTGTAATGATCTTTTTCATAATTCGTCCTTTTGACAAGCCAATGCGTTTGCAATTTTACGAACAATTGCGCACAACAACAACAACAATCTGATTCGATCTAATCTATCACTTTGTACAATTAAGTTTATTTTATATATTAATAATGATATTGTTATATTATTACTATGAGGAAAAACAACGATGACATAGCTACGACGATTATCATAGTGATTAAATAATAACTTTATACGATTAAGAAGAAAAGTTTTACAATGGTGCAAAACACATCAATTATATATTATTGGATTTAAATTAAATATAGCTTTATTTATTAAAATTTACCCGCAATGTTAAAGAGATCTATTGATCCTCTTCGATATTTGTAGTGTTATCCTTAGAAATATATAAAATATTAAAAATAATTGTGCAACATATAAGAGTTTCAGAGTTCTTTTTCTTCACTCTTTTTCTCTTGGATACACATTACATATATATATATTATACGTATATATATATAATATATAATACGTTTAAATTATCACATTTGTAATTTTCTTTTCTTTTTGGTTTTTTCTCTTTTCTATAAAATAAATATGTGAACTTCTAAATCATTAGAACGAGAATAATTTTTATTTGCTTACTCATTAGTCTTATACTATATTGTACAGGTGTTAATTTAGATATAATCTTTATAGGCTGCAACCCAAAGTCAGAAGTTTTAGTTCGACGGTAAAACAATTTTAAATTAAAAATAAAAGAAACAAAAAACATTTTCAACAAAATGGCGAAAAACTCAAACTTGGGTTTGCGTAGGCTCTTAAACTTATCAGTCCGTTTTTGATATCGTAAAATTAAAAATATCTTAATAAAATATAATAACTAAAATATCAATTTTATCTGCTGAGTGAGATATAACAAAAATGTTAGACATTAGACGTAGTCAGTCATCAGTGACCAGATTTAAGATTTACTGTAACCAAAGCTGATATCATGTTATTTTCTAACAAAAAACAAAGAAACAAACTAATTTTTGTGATCATAAGTTGTGATCATTTAAAAAAACATAAATACGCATATAGGCCAATATCGCAAATATACGTGGACTCTCGTATAGAGCGATTATAAAAATGAAAAGTTAACCAAAAATAAAATCATCGTATTTCGTATTATTGAAAAAGATCTTCCTCGTAAACTTTTAAGTCTCGTCTATCTTTATGTACGCTCTTCAGGGAATAATTAGCTGCTATCGAGGTCCACATTGTACTAGAAGAAGCATCATTTATCGGTTCTATTATTGGTTGTCTTCTTGCCAAAGAAACTTTTAACTGAATCGAAGAAACCATGCTTCCATCCATCTCGCTGATCGCTCTCTCAGCTGCCTCCGGTTTGTCAAAGGTCACAAATCCTCTACTATAATAGTACGAAAAAGAAAATATATTAACTTTCTAACATAAAATATGTTTAAAACATATATAAAAATAATTAATTATTATAATCATAAAATATTTACTTTTTCTCAGCCTCCATCGATATGTTAATAACGTTGCCAAATGTTTGGAAATGTTTCTTCAAGAAATCTTCAGAAATTTTATAGCCGCAAACAAATATTGTATTACCAGCTCTGGGTTTCACTTCTTGTTTTACTTGTGCTTGCTTATCAACCGTACTTCTATCTTCTTTGTCTTGAGCACTTACAAAACAATCATATAAATCCTTAACTCTAGGTCTTACAGTTTCGCTCTCTTCTTCTTCCATTTGCGCGGCTGAAAATGGTTGATACGAACTAACTGTCTTTTCTGTACTATTTAATTTTCTCTCTAATCCGCGTGGTCTTTTAAATGATTGTTCTGGTCTCTTGGGTGTTTTCGGTGCTGTAATGACGCCAGACTTAATAAGCTTTTTCGCAACTTCTCTAGCATCTCTTGCTTCTGTCGGACGTTTAGGTGCTTGTGGTACGCGTTCTGTTTCTTGTTTAGGAGATTTTAAATCTTGCAATGCTTTTTTCTAAGAAAACAATGAACTTATATTAATGATCAAATAAATGACTTTTGTACAAAGTGTCTCAAAATATCCAATAATTTTATATATATATGAAAAAATCATAATGGTTATTATTTTCTTATTAATTATAACATTATTTTTATAAAATAATTCATTGACTGGATGAGGATAATACTTTATTAATATAACATCGTTAAATAAAATGATATTATTACATATTGAAACGTACATATTTGAAAATGGTCAAAGTGTACAATCATTGGTCAAATATAAGTCTAACCTCAACTTTTAAGACATTGTTAAATAAATCTTTAAATATACCTTTCTCTTAAGTTTGCCGTATTTCATCTGCAACATCGATTCCTCCTCGGTTAAATTAGACGTAAAATGTAAATAAACCATATTTTGCATGTAATATTACTAATAAATACAGTCACAACAATAATTGTAATAAAACACCACCGTACCAGATTATCAGTAGATTAAATTTGTAACAAGTTGCCATAAACAAGTGTTACCAACCGTCGAGCGCTTAAAATATCGAACCCCTAACTTTGTCTTATGAAAAGACAATTATAATTTGTTCATGAATAAAAAAAAAAATGAATAATTAATTATACATTTTACTCTCGTAGAAAGGTTCATACGTTAAAATAATATATCTCCATTTTTTTTAATGATATACAATGACTCTTTATACAAATTGTCATAAACAAGTGCTACCAACCGTCGAGCGTTTAAAATATCGAACCCCTAACTTTGTCTCTTTTAAAAAGACAATTATAATTTATTCATAAATAAAATGAATAATTAATTATACATGTTACTCGTAGAAAGATTCATGCATTCAAATAATGTATATATCAATTTTTTTTACCAATATACAATGACTCTTTATGATTATAAAAAATGTTAATCATCGATTGTATCGTACGCTTAATACTTTCCAAATTTTCCAATGTTTTTTTTTATAAATATATGTATATATATATATATATATATTACGTACATTCTGAAGACCTATACAAATAATTGTTATCTAATATATATTAATAATAATAATTGATTTTAATGTTATATAAAAATTAATATGTAATAAAGACATGTTTTTTTGTAAAACACGTTGTATTCATTTGAAAACAAAGCTACGACGACGTATTTCTTTTTCCATATAGAGAATCGCTTTATAAAATGTATATATAATTTGTTATTTTTATATCTACACATATATATCTATGTATATATATATATATGTATATGTTCAGATTACAAGGAACAAATTTATTTGTATATTTAATAAAACAATAACAGTGATTAATGATGTCAACACAGCAACACAAAAAATAAGAAAAGCATCACACTATAATGATTGATAAAATCTCATACAGTTATCTGTTTTTGGACCGAAAAGTCTATTCCACTTTCATATCTTTTCATTTGTTCATAATTAAAAATATAATTTAGTTCATAATTGTCACATATATTACAAGGCATAACATTGTTCGATCATTGCTAATTGGAAAGTTCAGGTGTTAGCCTGTATACACATATTTTACTAAACGAGATATATTTCATAATCTCGAAATTATCCACAAAAAGGATAAAAATATTATTTTTTTGTTATTTAATTCTCTCACACTTATACACGCGTTGCTACCACTATGTGCACAACATTTATGCGTATGTGCGTGCACACTTCCTTGTATTTTCTATGATTCTTTTTGTCTATATCATTAAGAATAAGCAACCAATTATTTATTATGCATTTTATGTATGCTGAATCGTAATGAAGGTATTATTATACTGAATATTTTTATATATACTATAGATGCAAAAAAATACAAATTGTTATTCTGATCTACAGCAGCATCATTTGACACATTGGATTGTATACTGCACATGTGTACAGAGAAGTAAATATTAGCCAAATTTAGATAATAATCTTATTGTTTTTCTTTTTGTTTGTTTCATTTAACGCTGCAACAATTTATGGGCTATCATTCAATTTTCTGACATTAATAAAAATCAATAATTTTAAAATCGGATGATCCTTACATTCATATAAATAGTTTACATATTTTTTATTTAATTACAATATTTGTTCCGCTTGATACATTTGTTTATTGAATTTCTTTTATTTTTTATTACTTTGTTTGTTTGTTGTGCAAAAAAGATTTGAAATTGAATTGATATATAAAGAGGTGATACCAAATTATAAGAGAAAATTAATATAATCCTGAACCACAATTTTAATATCCTGTGTATATATAATATTCGCTTATCAAATTATGTTTGTAAATTACTCTCGTTATATTGGCCAATGTGAATTATTAGTTTCGCATATAATTAAAGTAATCATCATTAATATATGTAATTTATTAACACACACCAAACTTAATTTTACACAACATACAATAAATAAAAGCCTATATATGAGTAACAATAAAAATCGATCGTGTTATTTTATTTATTAAATAACATTTTGGATTGGTTTTAAAAATAATTATCTTTAATCTGGTTTTTTTTCTTTTTTTTTAAATAAACTGCGACCGTTCGATTGGAAATCATTGTTCAATTTGATATATTATCTTACGAATATTAAACTTCTCTCTTTTGGTATGACATTTGCACAAAGAGTCAATAGATACCTGAAAAGGAGACTATTAAATGAAATATAAAATTAAAAGGGAAGGATAACGAGTTTGCATTTAACCCTTTTAGCACCATATTGCATAGAACGGAATAAAACGCGGTTAAATTTATGAAATGTGAAAGCTGCTGCTAAATGTTAAATGCAAAAGAATCCTGTACTAAAAGCGTGTTTTCCTAATGATATATGCAATTGTAAATATAGTTGAGCAAAATAATATCATGGAAAACAATTAAAATTAATACAACATAGGAAAGAACATAAATTTCAATATTTATAATATAATGAAGTAACTCTCTCTCTCTCTCTCTCTCTCTCTCTCTCTCTCTCTGACATATACAATGATATGCACAATAGGTTTTTTCTTTCTTTTTTCTTTTTTTTTTTAAATATCAAATATATTATCACATTCTGGAAATCTTCTTTATTTTCAGTTGTGTATATATATTAAATTTTTAATTCTATATAATTCTTCATAAATTTTATTATTGACAAATTTGGCTCCGCAATCGAACATATATAACGTTTTTAATAATTATTATTTACAAGGTATTATACTTTATTGTGGAGCGCGCGTATATTTTTCTCATCCAGTTATCGAATAGTATATAAGTATATCTGAATACATATAAATATTTGAAACATAATTCTTTTTTTCTTTTCTCTGTCTCTTTAAATATAATTATATTTGTATAAACTGAAAATAAAAAAATTAGATAAAAATTTTCCTAAGTAGCGTAAACTATTTTACATATATCTAATATAGAGGCGAACATAATAAATGACAACTTATAAATAATAAAATTTAAACAATCAAACTAGAGGAAACAATTAATAATGCAACCATCAATCTTACACACACGCAAATGTGGCATTAAAAGGGTTAATTACAATTGCATTAAATAGACGTACTTTTATAAAGTAATTCGAATGAGATTATGTTGTGTGCTTCCGACATCGAAAATATCTTTCTAAATTTCGTTAAAGTATTGTTAACTTTGTTTTCCTTTTCTTTTTTTTTATTGTACAAGTATCCTGATTTTATTTAATCGTAGAATGTAGTTTTAAGATTTTTACCAAATAAGAATATTTTACGTTGAAAAACATTCATATATTATGAATCGAAGTTATAATTAAACATACAAATAGACAATTTGAGGTCTATACATTTATGTCAAATACTGATGATATATTTGTCTTATTGCATCTTAAATATATTATTGAATTTGATAGGTGATATCAGAATCCTCGGTTTAACATCTTCTAGATGAATAATTTATTAATAATTGTAAAGAATCAGGAAATTTCTTTTATAACAACTACAGAATTTAAAAAACGAATATAACGACAATGACAAAAAAAAAAAAAAAAAAAGAATAAAACAAGAAGAATAGAGTGAAAAACTGAAAATCAAAGTCTCTTACTAATTGGCAGCATTTCACATACTCCAAAAAAAAGATGCCACAAAACTTAATGATAAATAGATATTCGGAAACATTTAGATTTAAGAAGATGGAAGCTTCGAGATATTGAAAAAACTTACTGGAGCATAAAACATTTGGTTGTTTCTTGAAAATGGGATACAATCACCATTTTGCTTTCGCTTCAAGTACCTTGCACCTCAATGTTTCATGTTCCTTATCGTATTCAATTAACTACTGCCATTCAGTAGATGTACAATTAATGCAGGATCATTTAGTATCCAAATATATTTTAAGCGCTTTCTCACTACGTCTATTGTAACCCGTCGAGGATGAAAGTTGGATGAATCGTGCAGTTTCTTTATTAGTAATCTCCTTCGTTTCGTCTGGACTTAATTTTTTTAACTCCTCCCGGCTATCCCTGTAATTATATTTATTTTCATAATTTTCCTTTTTAACACAATGTATAGGAAAATATTGAATTGTAAATTTTTTACTTGTAGATGAAGACAGCACCATCTTCAAAATCATCGTATATTATATTTTCGTTACCGATTATGTGCTCCATCCACTGAAGATCAGTATGGACTTTTAATACATGTATATCACATGGAAAAGTACCTTTTCCCTTTGCTATATCTATGTATTTTTCAGGTATATTTGATATAGAAGATATCTAAAAGGGACAAAATAGAAAACAAATTATTTTGTTAATAATCTGTGTAATTTTGTGTACCACGCATACTTTAATAATTAAATAATGATAGATATTCATATGTTGGATTACCTTTTTTTTAATGTCCTCTATCGATTTATCATCTAACACAACTTCTTGAAGTTGATCAAGTTGCACTTTCGCGGGAGACCATCTTCGAACAAACAAAACTACTTGATTGTCGCTATCGGTAACGATTTCTTTCTCTGGTAGCTCTTGGACAATCATTTCATATTGTGTAAGTTGTAGTTGATCAAATTTCTGTTTATCTAAAAATACCTTGGAAGCTATATTATGAAATTTTTTTCTCAGTCTACACTTTTCATATGGTATGTCTATGTTATGCTTTTTCTTTAATTCAGCTAAAATTTGCTTCTTTGCTTGACCGAATGTCATATCTTTAGAAAGAATTGTTTCGCACAAGAATTTGTAAGGCTGTTATAACAAAAAATTATATTATAAAAATATATATATATATAACTATTACAAGGACTATTAATGTAAATGGCAACAATGATGCTAGATATTAACGAACCTCTGCAATTGAATCGATACATAATTGAAATAGCTTTATTTTATATTCTCCACTGCGCAGCGCTCTTCCTAATTTTATATTAAGACGTTCGCCATCATCAAAAGCAAAAAGCTGATTCGTCAGGCAAGTACATTCGGATTCGCCATCGCCACATTGTCGGAAAACTTTGAAATATTCAACAGGTACGCCCACATAAGGCTCCAAAATTTTTTTCAGAGTGCTCAATTGCATTCTTTTATCTACTAAAACCTTAAGTACTAAAACGACACAAAAATAATTATTAATTTTAAAGAAAAAAAAAAAAAAAAGATTTATATAGTTAATATTATAAAATAGATAAATAAATAAATACATACATTTTCGATTGGTGTTTGTACAAGAAGTAGCCTTAAAGTAATATTCAGACTCATCATCGATATCAGAATTGTGTATGTCTAGTTGATTTCCTATATCGAATCTTCTATTATCCGAAATAGGTGGATGATAAGATGGTGGAAAATCATCGTCCTCTTGAGTATCTCCTACTAAAGTTTTATCGCTATCACTAAGACTGCTGTCTTCACTGTTACTTAATTCAGAAACATTCCATTCTTCCGGTTCTGCTGATTGTAAATCTGGTATTGAACAATCATCATTTTTCACTGATATTTTAGTAACATCCCGTAACATTTCACATCGTGTGTCGCCATAGTTATTTAAATCGTTAATCGATAATTTAGATAATCCATTGGTGAAGCGATTTTCTCTATTATCATATTTGTCAGCCAAAGATACGACGTCTAATTCTTCCAATATTTCTGAAGAAAAGAAATAATTTATTGTATGAAAATATAATAATACGTGGAATTTAAAAAAAATATATATTTAACTATTATAAGAGATATAATATATGTTATATCTATTACCTTTGCTTATGTCAGGTATCTGTACTTGTATTGAGATAAATCTTTCGAGCCTTAGTATGAGCTTATACATTGTTGTCTCATCAAAACCTTTATTACTATCCACATCGAGCAGAGTAGATACGAATACTTTGTTATTTGCATTCATAAATTCAGCTGTTTGAAGATCAATATCGTCTCTATCTATTAATTTAATATCTACTTTACGTTTTCGTAAAACCAGTAAAACTAGTTTCATTTGTTTAGGATCCATATTAATGATGTTTCCTAACATTTGCTTGTAATCCTTGACACTTTGAGTGAGTAAACCCCGTACATTAATTGGTCCATCTATAATATCTACTTTGGGAATATCTATCACAAATACTTTAGTTGTAATACCTAAAATATAAAGAACATTAATTAGATAAATCAAATCGAATAATACATAATTTCGTCGTTTTTTTTTTGTTTGTATTAAAAATTAAATTAAATACGATTAATATTTACCACCAGGTTGATAAACTTCAAACGTTTGATCCTCCTTACGTATTTCTAGAAGAAGCTCAATGGAACTTTTATTATACCAAATACTAGAAATTTCATCTTGTTCTCTTCCTTCGTAACTGCATTCAATCAGATCTGTGCTGTGTTTGTACGCTACTAAACGACATTGATTTAATTTCACTACTCCACGAAGATCTAATTTGTTATAAGCTTCTTCCGTAACTTCGGCTAATTTATATTCAGGCATTGTTATTAATTTAGTGTGACACAGATTGCCGGTTACTGGATGATGACAATAAATTTTTAATTTAGGCCATGCTATCTGTTTTTCTCTATTCCTTCTATCATTGTCTTCGCTTTCTTTCATTTTTTTTAACAATTCCTGAAATATAAAAGTATATAGAACTCTATGCTAATAACATAGATTAGAAATAATATAATAATAAATATTAATATTAATATTTTCAAACGCGTTTTTTCTACCTGGATATGCCGAGGAAAATCTTGTGTTTGCATCGGTAAAGCATTACGAATTGGATCTATTTGCCTATACATAAGCATATAAGCATTTGTGCTACTACTATATGCTCCGCTATAATATGCTCTAGTTGAGCCACCACCAAACGTTTTTTGAATATCATCCTGAGTTATCTGAGAAACGTAAAACATCATTTTGTTATCATTAATCTTTTTCATATTTTCTTATTTCTTTTCAATTTACATATATTTCCTTTTTCTTCTTCCATTTGCTTATTTAATTTCTTTTGTCTTACCTGAGTAACACTTTGATCATTGAAGCACCACCATTCTCGTGTCCTAAAGTCCTTAATGTAAGCATAATAGTGGCCACCACTGGCGCTTCCACTATGTATCATAATCGAAAATAATTCATATATGTATGGACCTGATTCTATTATGCAATTACCTTGGTGCTTTCCATTTTTATAATTGTGTTTGTTACAATTAGATGTTGATGGTCCGTTACTCATATCAATACCTATATACACCAAAGAAAATAATATTTTATATGCTATTTTCTTTATTTTTAAATTCTAAAAATAATATTATATATATGAGTAATATTAGAAACAATTTTACTAAAAAATAAATCTTTAAATTGTAAAACACAATACTCATTACTCAAATCTAATGTTCATCAACGAACATACCTTCATCGTCATCCGGATCGTGATTGTTCAATGAATTATAATTTGTGTGATTATTATCACACGGTGGACAATCATCATCTAATGTACCACTATCTGTAGTTGAACTATCATCGCATTTTATACCTACACCGATATCTTCTTCTCCGGAAGGTGATTCTTGATTCGTCGATGGAATAAAGGAATTTAACAACAATGTATCTGGAAACGTGACTCTATAATGAAAGATATATTAATGTATAAAATTTGTTATTATAAATTATAAATTAAAACACAATATATAATAGATATTTTTTATATGTAATTGTTGAACAACTTACTTATCATTAAGTTTAATTCTATGACAGCTGTTGTTGTCATAATCAAATCGTTTTAGATGTAATGTTAAAAGATAGGGAAATTTAGTGAACTTTAATCCTTTCTGTGCATTACATTTTTTGTTACATTTTTCACAATGATATTGATTTGCTCCCTCTAATGTTTCATATTGGACAAATGCTTTCATCGCTTCTTCCTATAAACATTTTTTTTATATATAATTATTTCGAATATATAATAACTTAATAATATTGAAATATTAAATGTCGTGAGGAAAAAAAAGATATATTACCACACTGTTGTATGCTATATTACTACCAAATGGCCTAACTGGTAAAGGAATATCAAGAAAAGTATCTTCTCTTGATTTCTCTGTTCCACACTCCAAACATTTAACATAATCAAGCATTTTTCCTGAAATTATAAAATTTGATATACAAAATGTTTATTTATTACCATTATTTTGTATTATTTTAATTTCCAGTATGAAAATTAGAAATATAAAATACCTTCATACAATCTATTAATAAGATCGGCTTGTTCTGTATTTCTGAATTTCAGTTCCAACGCATCAAACATAACTCTACAAAGTTCTTGAATATCGTGCTGTTGCCAAGCTTCGTTAGAATTCCATCCAAAACTTTTGGTTAACGATGTAGTCTCCACTGCAGATTTTGTAGACGTCTGTTTACAAATTAATATCATTTCTTGTGTAGACTCTGATAATATATTATACTAATCGTTTATTAAACTATTTTTCCTTGTCGATCAAATGATTTGCATACCTGTAAATTGAGAAATAATTTTTGCAACTGATATGGAATACTCTTGGTTTCATCTTTTTCTGAACCTTCAATATATTCCCAATTATAAAGAGCATTACGAAATTCTGGTGTCATATATAATGCTTGAAGAAGACTGTTGAGATAACACGTCATTGCTTGATTTACCAAACCAACATAATCTGTCAATATAAATAAAACATTTGACATATTTATCCTATAGTATAATAAGATTAACAATATTTGTTTATATAATCATTACACTGTATGTATTTTATATTTCTATAATTAGTTTTAATATTATATTTAACATACTTGTTTCAGGTTTAAGAGGACCTTTTAAGTTAATATTATTCTCATTCCAATTAGATGATAATTGATGCTGTGGTGTAGGATCGCATAAAGACGGCTCGGATTCTAAATATTTAATAACTTTATTATGAACATTGACGACAAGAGTATTCGACGTTTCATTAGATTCAGAATTAGATTCAGAATTAGATTCAAAACCCATATCGAGCGACGACAAATCTAATATTGTTTTATTTGTCATTTCTGATACGCTAACCTATGTAAATAAAAAGAAGAAAATCAAAATATTATTATCATTATTGTATACGCTTAATAGTTAGAATTGCAAATATTGTTATAAGTAAATTCAACTCACCATCGTTCTTTGTCCTGTATTTAAATGTACTGTAAATGAATCTGGACGTAATCGATGTTGTTCTTCGATAAAACTATACAAATCTTTAACTTGCATAGACTCATGCAGCTCAAGCTTTCCACTTATATCTTGTTTATCCTTAGACTCTTTGATGATATATGGAATCAAACATTTTTTATTAATTTCATTCGTCCTATGAACCATGATCTGTAATAAAATTTAAAACATATAAGAAAAATGTAAAATAAAGTAATATAAAACAAAACAAAAACTCATAATAATATGACAATTCAAACATACGCGCGTATTAAATAAGTAATTTATTTGCTTAATAGGAACAAACAAAATAAATATAAAAATAAAAATAAAAGAAAAAATAGATACACATAAATTATAATAAAAATATTAATTTAATATAAATCGATATTAACTCAAACATATACTAGACGATAAACATCATAACAAAATGTTTCAAAAATAATTCTTTCTTTCCAATACACGCGTTAGATTCATAAGATATATTTTTTTCTAAATAGTATAGTTATTACATACTTTGCTTTAATATAACAAAAAGAACACTTAGCAAATCGGAATGCATTAATATTCAATAAAATATATATTATTCATTTAACCAATTATCATACACACATATTGTGCTGATATTAAATGAGTCAGAATTGGCTTGAAGCCATAAAGAAAATAGGAAATGTTCAAAATCTACGTAATGCAGGAGAACACCGTTCTATGTAGCATGACACAGTAGAGATATCCTATAGAGCTTGCAGTTATATTTAGAATGTCTAAACCAAGACTTGGAAAATGGCTCTTCCCTAACATCAACTGTCCTCTCTCTCTCTTTCCATCGTAACACAAGATAGACATTTTTTATTCTTTATTTTACGCATTAAAATATAACCTTTACTAAAAATACGTAACTCTTATAAAATAAATCATAAATAATTCACGAACGATAACAATATTAAAATTCATATTTTAATAAATATTATATATCGCGTTACATGAAATGTAATAAAATTTAATTTACATATTATAAAAGTATTCCTATTAACAATTATTTATATTACATTGTTTTATAAACCGATTTTACACTTTTTTCTCTTTCTTTTATTAAAAAAGATTGATAATATTTTTAGCATGCATAATAAGTAAGGAAACTTTTCAAACTTACATTCTGTTATTTTGTTATCAATAATATAGCTGTAATGATATGTACCTCAATATGAAATCTAGGAATATATACCAAATCAATCAACCTGTAAAAATGTTATTAACAATGTTAATCGATTACATTTTGTTAACTTAATTATATCAGAGAGATTATTTATATATTTTTTTATTTAATGAAAAAAACTATGTTTTATTCTTTCAAAA